GGGAAGGATGATACAGCTGATACCGGATGATGCGATCCCGGCGACTACAAGAGCACGCATCAATGCGGCGAGTTCTAATTTCTCAGAGCCGTTCGTTCTGCCGGAGATGAAGATCTTCGAGGAGGCGGACCTACAACAGCTCTGGGATGAGACGGCCGAGAAGGACCCGATTTTTAAGGAAGCGTACAGAGCTGTGCAGAATTGTGAGCGTACCTTTCCGCCCGCCCTAGGGTTGAAAGTTCAAATCTCGGAGTGCGCCATCGATGCCGGTAAGAGGCTGACATTTAGGGACCGCATCTGGGTGCCAGGAGGATCTGGGGAGAGGGGCAGTCGGGAAGAGGCCGAGAAGGACCAGTTGAGAACCCGCATCGTGCAACAGTCGCATGACTCCGTTTCGACGGGTCACCCCGGCAGAGAAGGTACGCTGGCTATTGTGGCTCGGCGATTCTACTGGCCTGGACAGTCCCAGCTGGTTCGCCGGTTCGTAGCCAATTGCGACACCTGCGGCAGAGCACACATCTGGCGCCAGTCGAAAAGGGGATTTCTCAAGCCTCTCCCGATTCCAGATCGACCCCGAAGCCATTTGTCCATGGACTTCATCACAGATCTGCCGCCTACTGGACCGAGCAAGGCAAGGCACCTGTGGGTGATTGTAGACAGACTGACAAAGGCTGTGACCCTCGAAGTGATGGACAACATGGAAGCTGAGCCGTGTGCAAAACGTTTTCTCCAGTGTCATTACCGATTTCACGGAATGCCACGGTCCATCGTCAGCGACCGCGGGAGCAACTGGCTAAGTAGGTTCTGGAAGAGGTTCTGCCGTCTTGCAGGTGTCACGCAGAAATTGAGCACGGCCTATCATCCTCAGACGGACGGAGGGCCAGAGAGAATGAACCAGGAGATCGAGGCCTACCTGAGAGCCTACGTGTCGTACGTGCAGGACGACTGGGGAGAACTGCTCCCTGCCGCGCAGCTGGCACTCAACAATCGCGAATCCGCAACGACCAAGATCAGCCCCTTCTTCGCTGAGCATGGTTACCACGTCGATCCCATCAGCGTCGAAGAATCGGAAGAGCCACCAAGGGATAGAGAGGAAAGCAGAGCTGATGGCCTACTCAGTCGCCTGCAGGAGGTCAATGGGTACATGCAAGCAGTGATGGCCGCCTCACAGCAACAACAAGAAGAGGCAGCCAACGCAAAGCGACAGCCTGCGGAGCGGTTTGAAGTTGGTGACAAGGTGTGGCTCTCGATGGCAAACTACAGATCACCACGACCGTGCAAGAAGCTCGACTGGCTGCATCACAAGTACACAGTCACGAAGGTAATTAGTTCGCACGTCGTTGAGCTCGATGTTCGTGGTTCAATTTACCCGCGATTCCATGTTGACCTTTGCGGAGGGCGCATCAAGATCCGGCTCCTGGCCAAAAGGTGGATGACGCACAGCCACCACCGGTACAAGATGAGACCGGCGCGGATCTGTGGGATGTCGACGAGATTCTCTGCGCGAGATGGAAGAAGCGCGGACGAGGGGAATTCAGGCAAGCACTAGTGCGATGGACGGGCTACGCAGAGCCGACTTGGGAGCCAGTTGAGTGGTTGCAAGGAACAATTGCGATGAAGGCATTCGAGGACAAGTACGGGCCAATCAAGACTAATGATGGCCCTAGGAGAGGTACGAGACGCTGGCAGGAAAGCAAGAACCCGCAGACGCCGACCTGGTCGGAGGGGAGAAAGGGGGCTAATGTCACGGGCTGTGCCCGGCATGGTGGACCCGGTTGTACCGGGTCCGGTGGGTCGTTCTCGGGTGGCAGCACCGGCCGCCCGCGGACCCGGAAGCTGCGAGAACATTCTGTGAAGGGTAATATAAGCTCGCACTCGAGGCTACGCCTCGAGTTCAGCTTCCTTTCCTCCTCAGCTCTAGATAGACAACACATAGGCACCTGCTTGTTGAACAAACTCCGGGCCAGCCTCTTACACGACCAAATAACCCGTTTCTTGCAGTCGGGCACCTTGCCACTTGATTCCAACCAAGGTCAACCCTTTCACGCCGACGACCCTAGTGCCGCTGTCCAGTCGCTACAACGGCTCCTGATTCCGCGACAACTGGCCAGTCTAGATGAAGACTTCTCCCTATATTTGTCGGGACAGTCGATTCGGAACCCCTCCACCACCGAGGGGTCGACGGATCACAAGGATTGGCATGCATCAACTACACCCAAAGTTTCCTCGCCCCACCGCCAGCCTCTTTTCCAGCCTCCTTGGAATAAGCTTCCCCAATGCATAAGGTGCCCGCCCAACCACCGAATTCTTCACCCATTTATGTACTTCTTCTATCAATAAAGACCAACTAGATTCCCTCCTTAGAAGGATTAAGAGCTTTCAGTCCATTGATTCAATGCCAACTGCTCATTTGCTCGTCCTGTAATATGCAGCCTTTCCGGCTACGAAAGACCGGAGCCTATCCTATATACATCAACTTAACCTGTGCACTGAATTGCTGATACATAATATGAGCCACCCCCGTAAGCCTCGTCCCTCTCTTGGTAAAAATGCACGCAGAAAAAACGCAACCCAAAACCTCTTGAGCCATTCTGCATATAGCCATAACTCTGTGTGCGAAGTGTGGTAGTCACCGCCGCCAGGCGATAGTGAGGGTTATAGGTATCGAACCCGGGATTTCCCCGCTGGGTGGCCAGCACAGTAAGGCCTACTTGGGATAGCCTAGCACCAAGTGGTCGTCTTACCACTAGACCACCCGACCCCCTGCAGTAGCATATCAGTCCATCGGAAAATTGGGTGCACCACTTGACTCGGCAATGTCTTGAAGGCTGCCTGAAATTACATGGACTCATTGGCTTGTCTCTTGCACAGCGTCTGATGGGTCTTAGTGACACTGAACCAATCATACCCTCAATTCAGAGTCAATAATGTTCTAAGCTTCAGTTCTCATTGGTCAGAATCGTTCATAATGGGAAGAGCCTGTTCACAAGCTCTAAATCGCGAAGTGGACGCTGGACAAGCTCTGTGATCGATAATATCACAAGGCGTGCGTAAACTCGTCATACAAAGGCTCTGCCCGGTATCAAAATTCTCCCCAAACGGAGTACTCATTTCTTTAGGAGCCGAATCCCTCCGCCTTACGGCAGGACACCAACTCAAACGGGAATATGTGCTTCAACATAATAAGCCAGTTGGGACAACAAAGGGGGCACGTTGGCGACCATTAGCCCCCCCTCGGAGTCCGGAGTAGAGTCGCATGTCAACGACCTCAACACACCAGCTTACTGTGCCGTACCTGCTGTTGTTTGTCGAGCTGCAGAGCTTTGCTTTTGATAATTTGGATGCCATAATCTTGGACATGGCTTGGCGGGCAGGGAGCGGAAAAGCCCGTATCGCAAAAGCGTCATTTTTTTTCCATGACTTATGTGTACCTCAAGAGCACCGTTGCAGGTCGGACGGTGTCAGCGCCGCCGAAAAGCATTATTTCTGGGGGCTGGCACGGGCGACAACCCTTGCCGCAGCTCAACGTCTTCGCCGCAGTTGGTGCACATGTACCTGGAAGTAATGTCGCTGAAGTGCGCCAAAACAAGGGACGCTCTTTGGTGACGCAAGTTTTGGTCCTTGGCCATTCTCTCGCAGGCCACTCCGAGACCCCGCGGCTCCCACCTTTCCGTCCCCCTCTTCTTCTCTCTAACTATACTTTGGAATACTTTGACGCTATCTCGGCCACAGCGCCACAATCGAGCTGCTGCCTCAAGATGCCCCGTTCGCCATGGCAACCTTCACATTTTGTCTGCGTAGCCAAGCAAGACAAAACGGCCCTACATCTGAACATGCTAGAAACGGACGATGAGCCAATTTACCTGGGTACACGAAGCTGCCTGCATGGGTTTGTGGCGCCTGTATCTGTCACCGCTGCGACCACAGGCAAAAACATTGGCTCAAAGGTAGCCACGATTCGCTTCCTCGCCGAACCAATGATTCTCTCCACCGAGCAAACACGGCTTCAGGAACCCTAGGTGACGCAGGCTTGTCCGCTGCCGTCGACGACCGAAACCGAAACCGAAATCACCCCGCAGCTTGATGATTCCTTACGAGCTTCGAAATAAATATGTCGAATTGGGCAGGGCAAAGACCTCGGAGGAAAAAAGGCGGCGGCCCGCAGTTTTCGGGTTCTTTGATGGAGCAGGCCGGTTCTGTCGCCGGCTGGGCCGCGGAGTACCTGACTCTCCAATGGACTTGCCTTCATCTGTGCCCATTGCCCATGACAAAATTGCATACCGCCCGTTATTTGCAGGATTGTCGCACAAGCAAGTGCGGACAGAGGTGTTGCAACGTTTGGTCAGAAGATATGGTTCCGATTTGGAACCCGGCGAAATATGACGAATGTCGTCTTCCCAACGGCAGACAGTTCTTCGATCAGACGGCGGGTTCATGGACTCTGGAGTGTTGTTGCCCTTCGCAGGCTTGGGGAGTCTTGTCCAGCGTTTGATGTTATTGCAAACCGGCGCAGGTGCTGATCCAAGGAGACAAGATGCACAACTACTTTTCAAAATGCTGTCTTTATTTAGAGCTAGCTTTCTCTGGTCTGGACATAGTGCACCACTTCTTGATCATGCTCAAAGGTTCTAACGTGGGCAAGGGCATGGGTATCTGGGCCATCGGCACTGCCGACGCTCACCCTTCGGCCGGTATCATTGGCACCCACGTCAGCTCAATCCAGCCAGCGTGAATGCCTCCAAACTGAACCAAGCATGAAGGCCAAAGTACTTCAAAATGCTCCCCCAGAAAAGCACCTCAAACTGCCAGTATTCTCTCCACCCTTCTCCCGCTGTTTGCCCTCGCAACCCTATCCAAGTAGAAGAACTGTAGCGCAGGTACAAAGAAAGAAAAGGGGATCCCACGATGCCCAACGAGAGGGCATATGCGGAACCAGCCGGCGAGCGACTCAGATGATGTTGGGAGGCGTGTGCCGCATCTTCTTGAGCCTGTGTTGAAACCTACGAAAGGCCTCCTGGATGTGGGGAAGGCTCGATCGGGGTCTTGCCCTCGCCGGAGGAGGCCCACTCGCGGAAGCGCTTGCCATTGTGCCAGGTGAAGGAGGTCTGGCGGTACCCGGAATAGATGACGTATTCCTCGCACGTCATCACCTTTGTGCGCTCGTCGGCCCTGCGGGGCGCTGGAGGGTCATGTAGTTCATCTCGTCCCCTTCTTCCTCGTCCTGTCGTCGCGCTGGGGACCTCGACCGAGTAGTGGGATGCCGCCCCCCCCCCGAGGAGGTTAACCTTGGCCTTCTTGTAGTTCCTGGCGGCTTCATCGACGGAGCCGCTGGGCACGACGCCGTCGAGGGGGTCATCGCCGATGACTAGGTCGGTGTCCGCACCCCTGTCATCCGAGTCTTTAACGTTCTTGCGCACGTCCTACCACGAGGGCCCCGAGCGATCATCGACGACGCGGTCGAGGGGGAGCGGCGGAGCGGCGCTAAGTTCGAAGCAGACAAAACAACGGTCACGCGAAACGCCGCAGGGGCGAGCAATACGCTATTTACTTAGGTAGCGCCTCTTCGTGCCTTTGCTTTAGGGTGCTTCGAATGCTGCTCGAAAAGCAGTAGGTGTCGCGAAGACCGTTGCGCCACGCAGGCAAAGTGGAACGCGCTCCGATAAGAGCACTCAACTGACGTATGTCTTTCTTCTCAACAGTAGGACAAGCAATACACCTTGTCGTAGTGTCCTGTGTCTGCAGTTGCGATGCGCATTCCTTCCATGGGACGATGGTAGGCAGCCATGGACAAACATTCGTGAAACCTACGAACTGCCTGCCCGAGTCTAGGCAGAAATGAATTGACGTGTTATCGCCAGGATAGTGTCGAAGTATTCTTAGGTATAGTTGGCGAGAAGAAAATGGGGAAAGGAAGGTGGGAGACAAGGGGTCTCTGAGTCGTCCGTGAGAAAATGACCAAGAGCCAAAACTTGCACTGCCAGACAGCGTCCTCTTCAAGACTTACTTCAGCAACGCTACTTTTAGGTACATGTGCCCAAACACCTACAGTGATGCTGCCCTGGCCGCGACGGGTAAATGGAGCTTCTAGGTCCTCATTGAGACGTCACCCATAGCTTGCTTCGTTCAGGGTTTATGCACGGCAGGTCCGCATGCATTAGCGCGTGCTGTGGTGTCTGCGGGAGTATCCTTGCAAATGCAGATCGTGGCTCAGCCACATTTTGCGCCTCTGCATGCATGGAGTCAGTTGGTTCGGTGATACCGGCCTCCAAGTCATAGCCAGGATGCAAGGGAGTACTTGCGAAATGCTACCTGTGGTGCCACCCCTCTTCTTGAAATGGTTGCCTCACGTAAGGACATGGACGTTGTTGTTCTTCAAGGAGCTGCACCGGTAGCCGGAACCCTCTCCCGCTTCACACCTTCTTAAGATGGTTGCCACACTCAGCAACGGTCAAATGTCAACGCCTCTGTAAGTCGCCCCGCTGCAGCCAAAATACACCTCTGCTGGCTGCCCTGCAGCCAGTAAGCACTCCTGCCTCATGAGATGGATGCCTCCATGAGATGGCTGCACACCTGATAAGGACTAGGACATGATAGGTATGAAGCATACTGTAGTGGGACATCTATCGGAGGGATCGAAGCCCCTCGCGCCCAATGATGCTCCTCTGTCGCCAGATGACGCCGGCCTACGCCGGCCCCTAGCAGACGGCACCGCCTCCCAAGGTTCTGCCGACCGCTGGGGATGACCCGACACACCCACGAGCTTGAATCCGAGCTGCGACGATTACGTATGTATCTCCCACGTGATATCGACGAACAGAAGATGATGCCCAATGGGCATCTATGCAGCGACCGTCAGTACCGATCCCAGACCTGGTCCCGAACCGCGGCGACAAGCTCTTCATGCCTGCGACCGTATGTGCCAGGGTGTTGGGCTATAGGACCCATATCTGGCGTCCACAAAAATAGGTCTCTGTACAGGGTCATCGCGAGCCAGGCACACTCCCTTGTATTCCTACTTTCTTGGCGTCAATTGTTAAGGAATTCGTTGTGCACAACACACGGCCGCTGACAAGGGCGTCCAGCACCACGCTCAGCGCGAGCTGAGGGAGGCGATGGCGCCCAACCCCGTGGACGAGGCGCGACTACGTCCTAAGAACAGGAGCCGATGACGACTACGAACGCTTCTGGATCTAGAGAAGCGCTCCTCCAGCAGTCCCCCCGCGACGGTCTTGCCAAACTGCAGTTGCGACGATGCGCACAGTAACCCGACGGCTCTCCATTCGGTTCCACGAGCTGCAACCGCGCCAACACCGACATCGACCAGCAAGATGCTGTAATTGGAGACGTAGCAGACGAAGCCGAGACCAACAAACCGGACGACCTGCCCGAGGCTCGAGGCCCAGCAGTAACGGTTGCTCACGCGGCGGAGACTCATCGCCAGCCAGACAGAAGTCTTCCGCGCATTCAGCACCGCCTTCGACCGGATGGCCGCCCAGTTCACCTCAGGCCACGCGCTCAACTTCGCCAAGGACTTCTCGCGCGGCTTCCTCAGCTACTCAACGGCGCGCCCACACGCGCGGGCAAGAACGCCAATAACTGCCACGGAAGAGACGGGGCGGCTGAGCCCACGTAGCCAAGACGCTCAATCTTGGCATAGAACGCATGCCACAAGTCGCCCGAGTGAAGACCGGATGGGCATTCGTATCTTAGACCGGGAGGCGAGGGACTTGCTGATTGAAAGGCAGGGCGACTGGGCGGCCTGTCTCGGAGCCGAAGCGGTTGAAGGCTTCCAGAAGTGGCACACTTATGCGGTGGCCGACTGCCCCAGGCAGCTCACGAATATCTGCGGGTCTGCAGTAGACTATGGCCAAGCTATCAGAGAAGAGATCAAGCTGCGGACAGGCGTGGAACCAGTAGACGTTCACGAAGCCAAAAGACACGCCGAGGGCTCAGACCAGCCTACCGTGACGATGATTGTGTGGTGATGATGATGATGATGATGTTTATTTCGCCATTGACGATAGTCAGAGGCACTGCGTCAGACTCGCTAAGCCTAATCTAGAGTTGTCCAATACTCGGTTCCGAGCCCAAGGAATTCGTCCCGATCTAATGCCTAAATTTCTCTTACATCCTTCAATCCGTCTCTTGCTCATTTGACCTGTCCTTTCCAATTCTGGAGCCTGTCTGATGAGGTACAGACCACTCTCCTCCGCCGCATTTGACGAAGAGTCCACCTGCCTTTAGCCGTCCGGTGTAGCTAACCTACCAGCTGTGGGGCAACCACAGGTATAGGTAGAGGGTTTGTGCTGAAAAGAAAAGGTTAAGACAGAGGATGTATGTTAGTAAGGTGTCGGTCGTAACTTGGCGAGTTCCCGGCGATACACGGGCACCCAGGATCTGTAGCTTTGTGTGCTCCTTTTCCACCGCACGCTGCACACTTAAAAACGTCGGAGGTGCAGGTCGACGCAGAATGGCCCGGTTGGCCGCACTGTCCACAGATCGGAGTTGGCGCCTTGCAGCGACAATGCAAGTGTCCGTAGAGGTGGCAGCGGTAGCATCTCGCTGGTTGAAGTCCCTGAACGAATGGTCGCGTGTATGCACACCCGCCATTCGCCACCTCAACCGTTCGTTTGGCAAGCAACCTGCCCACCTCCTCTTTCTTATCCAGACGTACCACCAGAGAGCGGTACTCCTTGTCGACAGACGCTGTCCCGAGCCATCGCATCTTGTGCACTTTCACCCCGTTCATCCGCCCAAAGACGGCGCATCCGATACCATCCGTCGCAACCCCACAATGGGCTCTACCAACCCGTAGAGGGTACCACTGCTCCCCACATAGCGTTCCCTTGTCGAAGTGTGTCCTCATCCAGGTGTCGTTCTGTCGTACTTTACCGACGTCCGACTCTCGAAAGAGAAGCCGAAAACGCCCGTTTCCCTTAGAATTGACGCCCAGACAGGTCACACCCAACTCCCCAAGGGCAGCGTTCGCGCGCCGACGAATAGTCCCGGCACTGCCGCCCTTCACATCGCTGTCTAGGACCCGACTCACGTCCAACCCAATGCCTGGCAGTGGCCCTGGGAACGGAGAGGGTGGTGGCGAAGGTGGCAGGTGCTGTTGCTGTTGCTGATGAGGTGCACTTGGAGTGGCGGACTCCAGAGGGCCAGCGACGCGTGGGAAGAGTTCGTTTCGAATGAACTCTTCCAGAGACTCGACGCGTTTCTCCGCCCTTCCGGCCCGCTCCTCGACGCGTTGCAGGAGAGCTCCGATTCGTGCCAATGAATCCTCGTTTGCACTGGGGTCGGCGTTCGTCGATTTCGCTTTCGGGACGGCGGATTTCTTTCGTGATGGGCGCGGTTCTGGGTCGAATTGCAGTGTCGGTTTCAGAGGGCGACCGCGGGTGCTGGTCCTTGTCACGCCGGCCGCGCTTGTCGGATTGGCCATAATGATGCTACAGGCCACATTGTCGTTCGTACCGTCATCCTCGTCATCGAGCAACTCGAATTGGTTCGAGTTGCGCTTGGTGCTGTTCTTGCTCTTCCGCGGCATTTCGTCTGATTGTGTGGTTCAAGGCGGCTATACAGGAGATATGGCGACTCTTCGGCACCAGCCGATTAGCGCGACCGATCACCAAGAACCCCCGACCTACCCAATGTGACAATTGCTGGGACTACCACTCCCACTTTATCTGCGACCAAAAACAGGCGTGCCGACGCTGCGGCGGAAAAGACCATCATGGTGACGACTGTGATCGCCCGGAGAGGTGCGCGAACTGCTTCGGGCCCTTCCAGGCAGACCACAAGGAGTGCCCTGCCAGACCCAGGCGCTCACACGGCCAACTCGTGCGGCTGTCTAAGATCGAAAAGCACGCAGTAAGGAAGATGGGCTCCCGGCTATATCGGCAAACCAACATGGAACTCGAACGGCTGGCGCCAACCACCTCTCCCCAGCCATCCCAAGGACCGACCCCTTTACCCTGCGCAAGAGCCGTCGAGGCCCGCCAGATGAAGCGGCCACCTCCCTCCAGCGTGCAAGCGCCCGACCCCACGGCGCTTCTTCCACTTCAGGACGAGATAGTGGTCGCAACAGACAGCCCTGAGTCTCTCAAAAAAGAGACGTCGACAGAGCACGCGCCCGGATCCCTATGAGTAACAGGTCCCCGAGACAAAGAACCCGCGACAGGAGGATGATCCGAGTTCTCCGGGCCAACGTGGCAAAGCAGAGCCTTATCATAGCATGGCCTTACGACTAGCAGAAGTAGAAGATTACGGCATCGTGCTTATTCAGGAACCGAACGTCTGGATAGAAAAGAGAGCGGGACATGTAAGATCCAGACACACCAGACCCTCCACGCCTTTGCACCAGAACGAGCATGGGATCCAGACCAAGCCCCGAGGGTGATGTTGTACGCCCGTAACGATGCGAATATCCGGGTAGAGCAGATCTGCTCCATACCCACGCGCGATATACTCTGGCTTCGGGTCAACGGCATCCTCATCATCAACTTCTACCGACACGAGGGGAACCCCGAGCCACTTGACTACCTCCTCTACAAGCAGGAGGTCCCTGAAAAGTGCCTTGTCGCGGGCGACTTCAACGCCTACCGCTGCTTCTGGCAGCCTGGAGTGCGGAGCGCAAGATACGGGACGGCCATTGCAGAATGGGCGGCTCATAACGGGCTCGGGCTGCTCAACGCGCCAGGCAAGGCCACGCACGTCCGGGGCAACTCCATCGACCTGGCCTTTGCTAATATTCCCGCCGCTGACGCGCTTATAGAAGACCACCTCTTCACAGGCTCTGACAACTTCACGATCAGCATCACGTTCCCTGGCGGGGCTCTCCTACCTGCGAGAACAGCCAGACCAAGGTTAAGTTCGGAGGAAAAGACGAAGGGATTCGAAGAACTTGCGCGAGCTGGGGTCGTAGAGCTGCCCCGACCGGCAGCTGGGTCCCGGTACCTGGAGAGACTGGCCGAGGCACTGTCTCGCCTGCTTCAAGAAGCGGCCAATGCCGCGGGCCGGCGGCCTAGAAAGAACACGAGAGGCACCGCCTGGTGGAACGACGAGTGTGCCGCCGCAGCCGCAGTTTCCCACAGGGCACGGCAGGCACGTCCAGGTAGCCCGACAGGGGCTGCGCCAGGCGGTCCGGCGAGCCAAGAGACGCTTCTGGCAGAGGATCTTGGAAGGCGCCGAGAGCAACCAGGATGTCTACAAGGTCATGCGGTGGTCGAGGAGGCCGAGTCCGTTCCGGGCCCCGCCTATACAAGTAGGCGGGGCGGTCTACGAAACTCAGACGGAAAAGGCGGACGCACTTCGGGCCGAGATTCTGGAGAGGCGCGTGGCCGCAGACGACATCCCAGACCCCTGGGTTCCGGAGGTGCGGGCCTCGCACAGAGCCTCGACTGCAGGTTACGCTAGCCGACGCGCGCATGCCTGCACGTCCACCGGGAACACCTCCCTGGGAGTCGACGGCATCACTGTGCGGATGCTGCGTCGGGCCTGGAACCACATCGGCGAGGCAGTGAGGGAGCAATACGAGGGCTGCCTATACCAGGACTACCACCCAGCCTGCTTCCGCGTTGCGGGCCAGTCTGCATGATTCGGAAGAGGCAGTCCGCCCAGTCACTCTAGAGATTCGTCCCGGTGCCTATTTGGAAGTCGGCTGCTGGTGGATTTGGAGAAATGGCGGATGTGATCGGCGCGTAGATGCAGAAGCTGGAGGTGTCCTGGCCAGGGATACACGTACCATCTGATGCAAGGCAGGGTTAAAGACTTGAGCTGACTATTAGACGTTTGCCCTGAGGGGTGGCTCACGGGCTTCGGCCAAGCCAACAGCGGACCACAGCCCCGAAAGAGGAGGAATCTGCATAAGTCAACCCGGCTGAAAGATGCCACAAGGCGGCCAAACTTGCACTGCGGAAGACTTGCGGGATAATTTGCTGGAGCTCACATCAAGGGGTACTACCCCCTGGGGCCAAGGCTATATAAAGGCACTCACCACTCTCTTCAGGGTCGCTTGAATCATCATCCATTATTTTACCACCTTAAGTCTGTTCCTACCTGTATAAATTCCCATTCATTTCATAACCTGGTGCAGTTCTTCATTGCCTGAATATTGACACTTCGCTTGTGCAAGTGAACGACAACCCTTTTCAACATGTCTTTTCCATTCAAACTCCTCTGCGACCTCCTCAATGAACTCAACTGCAACAGTAAGTGGTCAATCGAGACCGACAAGCGCCAGAGGCACGACTCGCGCGTCGTTCTTGCTTGGTTCAACAAGCATGACGGAATTATACCACGTCGAGGACCCGGTGCTGTCGCATTCTTGTCTTGTCTCTTTCCCCACCACAGACCAGATCGAGTATTCGGTCTGAGGGAGAAGCAGCTTGAGCCCATTATACAACGTGCACAAGGTCTTGGATCATCTCGGATGGAAGAGCTGCAAAGATGGAAGACCACCGACGGCCCAGACTTTGCATCCTGTGTCGAACACGTGATGTCGGCCACTGACTGCGAGTCCCGCATTGGATCGGGGGTCACTTTGGAGGAGCTTGACAAGGTGTTAGACCAGGTTTCGGCTTCGTCGCCTTTCTCGTCATCAAGCCTTCGTGAAGGGGTTCGAGATAAGCACGATCCATCACTTCGAGCAGCTTGCCTCCTTTCGACATTCTTCAGGCAACTGCACAGTTCCGAGGCTAAATGGCTGGTTCGCATGATACTGAGGAACTACAGCCCTGTTGAGATTCCAGAAAGATTGGCAATGGGCGGATTTCATTTCCTATTGCCCCATGTCTTTCAGTACCAGTCCACCATCCCAGCAGCTCTGCAGTTCCTGCAGCGGCCGACTATTGAGCACATGCCTTTCCAGCCGACGACCGATGTTCTCGAGAGATTAGGAGACGTCGCGAGCCAAGAACTCGAGCCAAAAATCGGGGTAATGATTGGGAGAGGGGTTTATGCAAAAGCGAGGAGCATTGGCCATTGCTGCCAATTGGCTGGCCCAAGACGGATGACTGTTGAGCGGAAATATGATGGGGAGTACTGCCAAGTTCACATCGGTAGGAGCGACTCGGGTACTAGCATCAAAATATTCTCCAAGAGTGGACGAGATTCAACCAACGACCGGACGGGGATTCACCACGCCATACGGCACAGCCTGGAGTTGGACTCAGCAAGTTGCATGATCAAGAGGCAGTGCATTGTGGAGGGTGAGCTCCTGGTATGGAACGAAGCCAAAAGGAGAATTGAGCCGTTCCATAAACTGCGCAAACATGTGCAACGGTCAGGGCAGTTTCTAGGAGTTCTGCGAGATTCGCCCATCGACCCGAACGAGCACCTCATGATTACGTTCTATGACATTCTGTTACTGGACAACATTGTATTGGCTAAAGAGAGCCACGATAGACGGCGTCAAACCCTTCAAAGTCTGGTCCACCGGATGCCGGGATGGGCGGATCTTGGATCACGCCAGGTAATCCAATTTTCATCAGCTGATGCAGCCGAGCAGCTGAGGAAGACATTCGCACGAGCCATTTCGCAGCGGTGGGAGGGTCTGGTACTGAAAGGCTGTGGCGACCCATACTTGTCATTCAACAATTGTCGGACATTCATAAAACTAAAGAAAGATTACATTCCGGGTTTAGGTGATACGGCTGACTTTGTTCTTCTTGGCGGTCGCCTCGATGTGGGCGAGGCGTATAGACTTGAACTCGGCAAGGTATGGTGGACGTCATTCTATATCGGCTGCGTGGACAACAAGGACGAAGTGTGTCGCCATCATGCAAAGCCGCGAATTCGCATTATCGATGTGGTGGATAGCCATGGTATCTCCAAGCGAGACATCAAGTATCTGAACGGTCATGGTTACTTCACTCGAGTTCCGACAGCCAACTCATTGCCTGAGTTCGACGTCGTGCTTGGACCAGAACGGAGACTGCAACCAACTGAGCTATTCTCGAATCCCTTTACAGTAGAAATAGTCGGCGCCGGGTTCGATAAGCCGGCAAATGCTCAGTATTATACTTTACGCTTTCCTCGCGTGCTGAAGATCCATGGCGATCGCTCGTTCAGGGACGCCATCGGATTTCAAGAGCTACAAAAGATGGCCGAAAAGAGTCTAATGGTACCAGATGAGAGAGCTGGCGAGGAGGAAACTTGGCTCAGGAAGTTGGGGAGCCAGGACAATGTGATTAGCATGTCAAAAAGCAACCCCCTCAACCAGTCTGGCACAAATGTTCAGGATGTGCAAAGCACCCCGCATGTAGTCAAGGAGGACACATCCCTTGGGCGGAAAAGAGTGGCGAAATACGAGCTGGATAGTGGAGCAACTGCCAAGCAAGCAAAACAGAACTGAAGGAGCCTCGACAGGCATGATTCTCTTAATTCTGTTACTAATCAGTTATGACAGGATCGGTTATCTCATTCAGGAGTATTTTGCGCGTGCATCGACTGTGAGCAGAGCACGGCCGTCATCATCTGCGGGCTCTACGACGTCACGACAGGTTACCCGTCCACGCCGGTGGCGGCCGTGTGCGGCGAGCTCGAAGGGCGGCCGGTCGTGACGTTTGTGTCGCTGAACCTTGCCACTGCAAACCTTGCCACTTCAAACCCTGCTACTTTCCGCCTAAAGAGCGCGCCTCTCGACCCTTGGAGCACAAGCGGACGCTTCCTCTACGACCGAGAGCCGAATTCGGGCTCTGAGCATTGCTCTGAGCATTGAAGTTTCAAACGTACCATGCCTTTGGCTACCCCCGGAGTCGATGATCTGCCGCCGCGCCATCTTTGGTTGCTGCAGCACCGTAAATCTATAGTTCAGTGGCCCAGTCGCATCAGAGGATTGTGGTAGAGACCGCTCGATTTAGCTGTGTCTGATTGGCCACACGGATTGCTCTAACAGTGCGAGGCACCCCGACATTTACATACAGCAAGGAAGGATTACATGCTGGATGACAAGAGCCGCGGGCGATGGGCGGGTGCTGTACGCAACAAACTTGCAAGGTGCTCGTGTTTCATGGGGAGGGCCTAACAGCCGGTGAGTCACAGGCATCATCCCATCGAAAGGGCTGCAGGCACACTAGGTGACGAGGGGAGGCGTCGTTGCTAAGTGTGGAAGCCATCTCAAGGACGTGGTGTGAAGCGGGAGCGACCGGTGCAGTTCTTGAGGGAAGGGATGGACTTCCGAGTTCTTTGCGCCATACTTTGCGGAGACCGAAGAGCACATGGACGATGCGCGTTTTTTTGGCACCCATAACAGGCCGGTCGGTCAAAACCCCGGCTTGGAAACCACCCGTATACCGTACTGTAGCAGCCATCTCATAAGCGGAAGTGCGTTCTGGCTGCGGTGCCAAGTTTTGCAAAACGAGGGCTTGAAGAATTGAAAACACACCCGGCTGACGTGTGGCGACTTGCAGAGGAATGATGTCTGTTTGCTACTGCGTGTGGCAACCATCCCAAGAATGTGGTGCGAAGCAGGAACGCGTTCCGGCTGCCGTTTCAGTGCCGTAGGAGAAAGACTTCCAAGTCCTTACCACGTGTGGCAGCCATCTCGAGAGAAGGTGGTGGCACCCCCGGAAGAACAGTTAATAAATCGAGTTATCGGTCCGCATTTCGGCAACTTGCTGTAGAAGCATGTTGCAATCAGTGACAGGCAATATTAGCCATTCTAGCAGCAGCAGCTATTGGGATGTGCATCTCACTTTTGGCTGGGTGGTTCATGCGACAGAGCAAATGCGGCTGAGCTACGATTCTGCATGCGTTGCACTTATGACTGATAAGCCTTTTCGCGCCGCAGCTCGGGAAAGCGGTACAGAGCATGAACTGACGGTGCATGTGTTGATGGCTGCTTGACACGAGCGACTGGCTACAGTACAGCTAAACGTGGCTATAGACGTGGCAATAGACGTTTATGCATATGTTCCTAGATGTAGCGTTGCTGGGGGGCGTCCTGTGAAGGGCGCGGTTTGGCTATGCAAGTTTCTGGCTCCTGCTCGTTGTCTCGCAGACGACTCCGAGACCTCGCATCTCTCACCTTCCCTTTCTCCTCTTCTTCCCTCCAGCTATACTGGTACCTAAGAATAACTTCGACAGTATCCTGGCCGCAACGCGCTAACCCAGCTCCGCCTACGCCTACCTTCGACTCTTTTGCCAATCACTTGCTTTTATCCGTGCTCAAAAAGGACTGATGAAGATGATTTCATCTGCAAATGGCTCACTTAGCGATGCCGCGAGTAATTCCAGGGAGATGAGGTTAACGACTTGCAGCCGTTGTCGCCGCCACTGCCGTACAGTATGTGACTCATATAGACTTATAGAGCGGAATATAACTACCAAAATCCCATCCTGGCTCGGAGGAATAAAACTCGGGCTACTTATGTGGACACAATTAGCCGGCTGGCAGATACAGTACTGTACTCAAAGTGAATTATCTACACAAATAACCTTATTCCACTCGGCCAACTCCGAAGAGGCCCCTTGCTTGTTCCACGATCTCGCGGCTAACGATTCTGCAACCCCGGCTGAAATGGAAGATCGTCCCATCGTCACGTCGCATCCGCGTGTCTTCGACTTCATTTCTGTCCGCAGCTTTATCCTCACAATAACACATGCAGCCGATGCCACTGCCTTGCGGTAAGTGGCTAGTAATGAGTTGCTTCGAAGATAAATCCCGTGGGCAGGCTTGGGGCCAGATAGCTTTGCGGCTGCGCTTTATGACCTTAACCCCTTAATGCGCCCCGTATGCTTTTCATCGCGACTAGAGGATATTAACATAATAGGAATCCGAACCATGACAGTTTCTGCTTACGTGTGATCTGTATGCACCACATGATGCCGATGCCGCGGAACCCTTCTTTGGGATGCTCTCGAATACTGGCAAGTCTTCCCCCCTGCAACGCACCGCTCACATGGTTGGGTCCTGCTACATCTGGATTTTCTTGCCCTGCATGCTTGGCAAGCCCGGTCGGTTCTTCGGATGATGTTGGATGTCTGTGAGAAGAACAAGCAGCCCGGTTGTGGTCGTTCATCCTGCCCTGCCACCTGTTGCACAGAGAGCTGGTCGTCACTGTTGTTGTCGATGTACACGGTTGTGGGCTTCCCTAGCACGGCGCCCATGCCTATGGACCGGACAGTCGCACCCTGGGGAGTCGTATCGCCATGGCTGTCGGCGCGGGGAGCGTGGACCACAGGTATTGACTGCGAGGTGACGGTTCTGACGGTCATACCCATGGTGGGCGACATCTGAGGCGCGTTCACTGCACGGCTATCTGTTTGCGCCACTCCCGACATGGGGGACTGTGTACTGGGAAAGTGACGAACCACGACCGACTCTTCACCGATCTTGCGATAATCTGTCGCCCTGCTCTCATATGGTGGGCTCGGCTCGCACACCATACTAGGGAACGGACTTGGCTCCTCGACATCAGCCAGGCTTTGGAAGCCCCGGTGTGTCCCATGCGATGCAATGCAAACCTTTGAATGGGATTTCAGGTCGTTTTCATCAACGTATGCCAGTGAGCAGCCCGCCACCAGACATACATAATATCGATCGCGGTCGGAATGTGGTTGCTCCATGTTAGGTGGCGCCAGGCTTGGAAATCGATCGTACAATCGATTTGATCGAATCGATTAATCGAATCGATTTCGATTTCGATCGATCGATTAGAAGTCCTGCTCGATCGATATCGTATCGATCCAACCTCCAATCGATCGATTTGATCGTCGTTCGCCATGTCCATACAAGGTGTCCAGGGTAGGCTGCGTAGGTTGGATGCGTGACGATGCTGCCGCCCGACGCGTCTGCCAAACACCCTGGCAAACGACCGGGGGTCCCAGGCAGCCAGTCATATCTATCTTGTTGCCGCGCGTCGCGTGTCGACAAAAGTAAATTGATCTCTCCGTCTCTTGCGTTTGCAAGTCCTCCCCGTTCAACGGAATCAGTACGCGTCGCAACCAGGAATTATTTCGGGCCTCAGCCTGTCCGAGTAGACTTCATACAGATTCGACCTTATCAGCCTCGCACCCTTCGATTTGACCTCGCCCACATTGTTTACGGACGTTTCCCACCATGGACGCGCTTGATGAGGACATAGAGATCGCCTCCTCCACGCCGCCGCCTTCCGAGCCGACAACCAGTTCAGCATCAACTAAATATGCACCCATGGGGTTTCCAGATTATGAAGCTTGGACGACTGATAAATTTGGGCGGTTCCCGGCTTCACGATTTGCCACGACCCTTCTCGAGAACGGACGTGGTGGTGGCAATTCGGATTCAGAATGAAGGACAACAGGTCACGGCCCCACAAGATCGTATGGATCTGCGAGAGATGCTTCCTCCGGGACAGGCCGAAGACAGCACATTACGTCTTCATCGCTTCGACTGGGAAGCGTCGTCCGACATCTGAGGAAGGAGCACAAAGTCGTGGTTTGTGCCACCTCTCCGTACCCCATCTCCACGTCGTTCGATCATGCCCGCTAACTTGTCAGCCACCTTCTAGACAACGTGCAGGCTCAGTTACCGGGAGTGGAGGTGCAGAACGGAACCTGCTTGATATGCTTCGCGCCGATCCGACGAACCCTCGAGATCAGACTCTTCTCAGCAATCTGCATACGTTATTCGATCCGAAGATGAATCAACTGCTCCTGCTCGACTGGCTTACATATCATAACCTCCCCTTTAATGTCGTAAACTCTGAGCGCTTCAGACGACTCCTTCTCTACAACAACCCGGCTCTCCAGGAAGGCCAGATACCAACTGGCAAAACGCTTGTGAATCTGCTACTAGATGAGTATAATCGCGCTCTTGGTCCGCTTTGCGAGCTGCTTCAAAGAGCGAGAAGTATGATTCATTACCTTTGATGGCTGGACTTCCCGACAAAACACATCATTCCTCGGTATCAACGCCCACTTTATCGACCAAGATTGGAACCAATGGGAATCTTCTTGGCTTTGCCGGCTCTCGCGAAACGCCATACTGGAGCAGCGCTTGCAGATGAAGTTGCAGATACAATATGCGCGTTTGGTCTTGAAGACAGGTATAGAACCACAGTCAACACTTCTTGGGTCCGTTAGCTGACAATCTTGACTGTTATCCGGCGTCAGAATCGGGTACTACACGCTTGACAACGCTACGAATAATGATACGGCTGTGGAAGCGCTTGCCGCTGAGTTCGATTTCGACAGGAAGAGCGTCGCATCCGCTGCGCCCTCATTTTCTGAACCTGGCCGTCAGGGCTATGATGTACGGCAGCAAAGGGATAATTTCAACGAGTTGCTTGCTCATTGGGGCGATAAGGACTTTGTGGCTGAAGAGGAAGAGCAGCGCCAGTTGTCCGACGCTATCAATGAGCTGGCGACCGACGACGACTTCTGTGTGCCGAGCATGGAAGAAGGATTCGAGGTTGAAACAGTCCCAGAAGGCAGTCAGGATCAGGACGTACTGCCCGACATCATCAATGGCGAAGAAGTGGACAAGTACCGCAAGTTTGGGCCATTTGGCAAACTTCACAATATTGGCATTGCTCTTCGAACGAGCAGTCAACTTCTCGAGGTCTTTTACGAAGCTCAACGGCAAACCGCTCCTACTGAACCTATTCTTACGTGGGTTCAAAACGTCTGCACTCGCTGGCAATCCGATGAGGCGATGGCCTCACGCGCTCTGCTGAAGCGTACGGCTTTGAACAGGATGTTTTCCATCATCGAGGAACGATGGCTTGGCAAAGGCGGCAAAGAACAGGACAAACCAGCGATACTGAAAGAACAACTTTCCCTTGAAGAATGGAAGGTCGTTGTTGCGGTTCAGAAGATCCTTCAGCCATTCAAGATCGCCTCGAAGCAACTCCAGGGCGAGGGTATTGCTGGTAAACGCTCCACGTCAGGAGGGTTCGATGAGTACTTCCGGTGGTAGAGATGCTCCTTGACCACCTCGAACTAGCAGTTCAGGGAGTTATAATCGAAGAGAACGAAGATCAGACCATGAAAGAGGTTCACCTGTTCAATGACATGGACGCAAGAACTCGCAGGGTTTTGAAGATTTACATCAAGCTCGGATGGAAGAAGCTGAACGACTACTATAGCAAGCTGACCTCAACCGCATATGTAGCGGCAGTGGTGTTCCACCCTGCAAGAAGTGGCGCGCTCTGGAACGGCTTTGGAGCCAACTCCCGTCTCGTCAGACGTCGGAGTGGGAAAGAACATATGCGAGAAGCTTAGCGACAGTCTGGAAAGAGAGGTACAAGAACATGGCTCATCGGCAATCCTGCGATGGTGTTTCAGCGGATACGACTAATAGTGGCTTGGACTATATTGAGCGTCGATTGGCGTTTAGTCGATCATTGGCTTGCCCTGAGCCTCGAGGGCGGCAAATTAAAGGACCAAAGCAGTCAACCGCCTTGCAAGAACAGGACGAGCTTGATCAGTACCTATCAGAGCCGCCGGTGGAAAATATCGCATACAAAACGGACCCAATCGCTTGGTGGAAGGACGTTGGTGTTGCGCGGTTTCCTCGGCTGTCTTATATGGCTGTTGACTACCTTACCATCGCGTCGTCTTCAGCAGGAACGGAAAGAGATTTTAGCAGCTGTGGGAGGATGATAACACCACTGAGATCTCGCCTACGACGCCATATTGTGGCGATGGCGCAGTGTCTTCGTTCCTGGAGTAAAGCTGGCATCTATCAGCCGACACTTCCTCTTGGTCTGCTTGAAGGGGACAATTGGAGGCAAGTTCTTCAACTGATGGGCAAGATCACCTAGATAGGGATGATTTTTAGTATTGATCGATTCGATCGTCGATCGATTCGAATCAAACAGCGATCGATCGATATCGATCGATTGAAGGTGACGATCGATAAAATTCGATCGATCAGGCTCGAAAATCGATCTATAAGATCGATTTCCAACTCTGGGTGGCGCTACTGCATATGTGAATGCCGACCTCTGCTGGACTTGTGCCGCGCCGGATGCGAAGGCTTCTCGCTGCTTCCCGTGCAAGTCAGGAACTCTGTTCAGTTCACTGCCTTCACACTGGCCCGGCAAGTTGCAGTTATATTCAGGGGCGGTGGCGAGGAGTGCTTCCGCGTATGTTGCCAAGTCAAAGACTCGCTCATCCTCAGTACGAGGGCTAGCTTCATCCACCATCGGTGAAAATCAGTGCAGAAGACGGCTAATATGTCGTAGTTCGGATACTCAAGCTCGGTGGAGGGCTTTGCGTGGGTGCCATGGAAATACGCAGCCAGGGCCGAGGAAAGTTTTGGACTTTATAGTGCTCGAACTTCCACCACAAGGCTGAAGCCCGAGGCAACTAGTGTATTAACAGTATACTAGAGCCAAAATGCACCTTGAGGAGGAATCAGGTCGAGGTGGGTATGCCAAATCATGTTTGATGGAAACAGGCAGGCATACCATGCGCGCGCCCCATGCCGGATGCTACTCGACCTGGATTGATTGCTGGCTGCGAAACCTTGTAAGCTTTGCACAGGATAATGCATGAAAGACTACGGCTCCTAAAGTAGCTCTTCCCTCTGCACCAGGCAGCTGGACCTCTCAAGGCAGCAGCGGAACCAACAGGCAATGGTCGGAGTCTTACGTTCGCGTAACCACTGAGACTGCGGGTTGCAAGACAAATCTGGGCTCTGTACGCTTGAATGCCTCGCCATATCATGTTCGCTTACGCGCACTTGGCTGACGTTCGCTAAGATAGCGGATTTGCAGTTACTGATCAACTACAGGCTTGTGGAGCCAATGACTACCACCTTGATCTCTGGGCTTCGATGAAATACAGTCATAGAACAGGTGACAGCTTTGAAGGGAATGTTTGTATTTACAGGCAATTCCCAGCATCAACATGTACATTTCTGCTGTCACCGCTGGACGAGGCATGGGAATCAACCGCCGGCGGTGCTTCCTGGAGGACCGTAATGTGGTATCGTCGAGTCTGAATATGTATATGTCGGTAGAGAGCGTTGCAAGTGCATTGCCGGACGGTCGCCCATAAACATAGCCTGTGTTGTGGCCATGGGTTGGCCGGGACTGTCCAGCATCGACGGAGACGGATGCTCACAATGAACACTGCCTTGTCGCGTGGTGCTCGCACGACTGAACGGGGTTATCAGTGGGTATTTGGATTGAACCCCCAAGCCCATGACTGCGGTAGCCATGCCCATGTGATGTTGATGGCCGTAGGAGGACGTCGTGAGCTGCGACGACTCCCAGATGGACGACCTTGTCGTCGACCCGCTGGTAGTGGAGGGCTCCCGACATGACTGTCTCGGCAAAGAGAGGGAGAAGTCTTGATCTAGACCGGCTAGTCGACGCGGCACCAAGAGCTGTTCCAATGACTGGACGGCGGCCCCAGGGTCGCCGGCGCGAAAAGGATGGCCTTGGTCGGCATCAAGTGGCACGAAAGTGCCCGACTGCAAAGAAATGGGCAACATGGCCGTCACTAAAGCCATACCTGTTGAGAAGCTCCCGTAGCTGCTTGTTCTCCTCAGCTACTCTCCTCGCGGCCATCTGGATCTCGGTCGAAGCCTCGATGCCCTGGAGCTCGTATACTCTGAGTCGCTGTTCGAGCTTCTGGACATACTCTCTCCGTCGGGCGCGCGATCTCCTTTGGTTATCTCGAATTCGGACTAAGCTGTTCTTCTGCTAGAGCAGAGAAAGAGAGACGGAGTCTTGTGTTAGAAAAGGCTATTCCTGTCGATGGTATCACCTGGGTTTATGTCACTTACTGCGGGGGCTGACATTTAGCTTGCAGGCTTGCATATAGACTCTTCTTAGCCAGTGAAGGAGGAAAGCAAAATTAAAATTAAAATCAGGTGAATAGTCTCGTAAGTAGAGTATCGGTCCAATGCTGAGGGTCGGGAAAGAATGGGGGTTGGCAAAAGGGAAAACGAGGAAATGGAAAAACCTTGTTAGATCACTGGCAAGGGAAGTATTTGGGGAAAGAACAGGTAAGATAGCTACAGCAGCTTCACGCCTTCTTTGCCTGGCCGCGTGCTGGTCATGGCGTAGCCCTTGCAGTCTTCCCAGGGGCTTGGACAAAGGACAGTCGGATTTGCATTTTACGGGTCACATTTGCCCCGTGTTGGTGGGAAATGGGACACTCGCCCCTGAGTAAACGTGATGAGTCAGTTGGTCAGCCGGACCGAGTCTTGGGAGCCGCTCGCTTCAGAGCCCCTGCCTGTTTGCCAATATTTCATAACTGTTATATCCAATTAGTATTGCAAAACATCCGTACCTCGGTAACCGCGGATGCAGGTCTCACAGAGGCTACCTTCTTCTTCCGAAGTGGATACCGACGTGGGCAGCCGTCCCCTTGTCATGAGGCTTCGTATGCTGCAAGCTTCGCCACCTCCCGACCTTCCATGCGTATGCATACATATTGCCACTTAGGGCCAAGACGAGTGAAGAGAAATTAACAGGCAGAATCCTGCGTCACGCTAAACCCCTGACTCCACTGCAGGAGAGCTGCGGGCCAGTCTGCATGATGCAAAGAGGCGGTCCGCCTAGTCACTCTTCGCCCCGGCGCCTATTCAGAATGTGGCTGCTGATGGATTTGGAGAATTAGCCGATGTGATCGGCGCGTAGATGCAGAAGCCGGAGATGTCCTGGTTGAGGAGAAGGTCCATGACGGAGTCTCCGGGAGGATGAATGCGGAGTTTCAAACGCCTGAGCGAAGATGGCAAACCCTGGGCAGGGGCACAGACGGCAACGAGCTTATAGGTCTCGAAGGAGCAAGCGAGGGCCTTGCAAGTCTTGCAGACTAGATGAACGTATTGAGTTCTAATCATGAGTCTTCACCAACCCCTGAAATGGTATTGGTCCCTGGATGCCTCCTCCAGTAAATATCTGTTCCACGAGCCAGCATTAATGTCTTCGCTTGCCTTCATGTAAGACTTCTTTGGAAATTGCCTCAAGTTCAGCGTATCTTGCAATACGTGCTGATGATTGAACACAGTGTCGGTTACGAATGTCCCTTGCTGCCTTTCCCGCACGAGTCCAAATCGGAGAGAGTCAGTTAACTCGGTCGTAAGCATGCTACGACGAGTCGTTCGTGACGATAGAGGTGCCGTGGCTTTCCCACGGTCGCATGTAGCTAGAGTGTCTTGAACGTTGGATCGAGGCCCCTCGCTGCTGCGCTTGTCTGAGGTTGCCTGTTGCTCTCTTTCACTCTCCAGCATAAGTGTAATGAGAGATTGTCGCTGCCTTGTCCCAGGACGGGGTACAGAACGCTGGAACAGCTGCGAATCCATGATCCGCTCGCCACTATTATCAGAAATGTAGTCGTCGAGTAAACTCGTCGTCCCCATTTTCAGATAGAATTAATGCTTCGTTCGTGCATGTGGGCAGGGCACGTCTGAACGCCTGAACACCTTCAATAACGTGGAGTTCGGAGCCAGGCGAGCTGGTTGTCTTGAGCGAGCCCTTCTTCGAGATGGTGCTTGTTTTGCACATGGCTTTCAAACGACGAGTAGAAGGATGCGCGAACTCATAGATGTTTGTTTGAGGAGCATGTTTCATTAGCTGAACTGAAGATCATACATACGAGATGATTTACGCGGAAGGCATGGCTTCCTTTAATGCTTTGGAAGGCACTTTCGCATCCCGCTTCCAACTATGGAAGGATTACTTGAAGCCTTTGCATCGACCAATGCGGCATGAGCGTGTGGCCCAAACTTGGGACGCTTAAATTGAAGGAAGCAGCCGTGGGCAGAGGGCTGACAGTGATATAAATCACCGTCGCTTAATTGAGTGCCCTCAGAATTATACCAGGTGCTCTGTCGACCGTTCAGTGCCGGATTTTATCACTACAGATAGTTGTATCTCCATCTCTCTTTCTACCCGTTTTCTCTGGCGCTCTCTTATCATACTGTCTAGAGGTACTGCTGGCATAAATAAAATCGCCAGACAAAGTCCACACTGACCTCCAAACTGGTGTCTCACCCGACCAGTCACAGAACACACTAGGAGCACAGATGATGCTAGGAACATCAATCCGCTTACTGCTCCAAGCCACGGCATGCCCTGGTTTGACGTCGGCTGCTCTGGCTGATGCTGGTTAGAGTGCCGGCCAAAACGACGGAAACACTGTGTCTTCCTCCATATCGCCATAACCATAATAACGATAGTCAAGTGAGACACCATTGGAGCAGCGCACCAGTATTCGACACCAGATCGTCTAAATTGCCAGACGGCCGCCCCAATAAACGGTAGGTGAAAGGCCAATACTAGTCCACAAATGATGATTCTCGCCTTAATGGAGAAACCAGACTCGACGGCGCGAGAAAAATAGGCGTAAATCAAGGGATCGACGACTTGAATAAGCTGTAAATCATGAGTATATCGGGGAGGTAATTAGACGGACCTGAATAGGGAGTACCTCAATGATGTCGACGCATAACATGGTGACCCCTTTCCAGGCTGTGAAGAAGGGTAGGCAAGGACGCTTGGTAGGAGTGCATTTCTCGCACTGCCGAACAAAGCGGCGAATAGTAAACCGCTACCCAAGAAGAGACATGCTGTGGGAATCAATGCCCAACTTCGCCTACGCGAAGCTTCTCGTGGCTTGACCCTGATCATCCAGTACAGGTAAGGCCCCATAAAGACCGTGGTCACGGCAAACACGACACCGGCCTCGGTGACCTCCCTGATGGTAATCTCGTCGTGCATGTCGAAATTCGGCGACCTTGAATGATGGAGAGAGCGGAACTCGGACTTAGAGTTGAGAATGAGAGCACCGAGCTTCCTCGGAACGAGACGTGCTTTATATAAGGTTAAGTCATAAAAGCGAATTTTGGTACTTGGAAAGTAACACTTAGATGAAGAGAGCCTTACGAAGTTGTCTAGCCGTTTTGCGAACGAGCATACATACCGAGAGTGAGGTGGAAATGGGTGCTTTGTCCGTAGTAAGGTTACACTGTCTTTGCCTCGAGACTGGGATATAGTTGATATGATGATTTACGTATATGAGGCGGGTGAGGTTCCTCCACATTGAAGCGGCCTGTTCAGAGTAGGGTGGGCGGAACGGCACGTCTTCAGCAGATTGATGCGGTTGGCCCCCCGTTATGAGGCCATCCAGTAGATCGGCATCACCAGCAGTGCATACAACCTGGTTCATGCACTATGGCTTGCATGTGTCTAAGCTCGCCTTGACAAGGGGGTCGGAACGCTATGGGCATGCGCAAAGGGCAATTTTCCCGGGTCTGCAGTCAAAATGAACATGGCCGTCCCGATACCATGGGCTCTCTGGTGGTGATGGATCAGATAAGGAAGGTCAAAGCACGAGCAAAAGGTGTCGTTGCTCCATTCCACATTGGGATTTGTGAGACAATGGCGCGGCTGCAGGAAGCATGACTTTCAGCTGTGACAATTCCGCAAGATGGGCTTCGTACTGGCTCGCAGAGCCAAGAACCTGGCTCTCCCCTGGTCGTTCCTGATCTCGGTCTCGTCGGGGCCGTTGGTCGGGAGCATCAAGAAAAGGCAGGATTGTCAGGCGGGAAGAGAAGGAACAGAGGGTAGATCTCTGAGACGGAAAAGATAACTAGTTACTTGGCGATTCCTTCGGCTTATTCGTCCCCTCAAGAATCATCTCCATCGCCCTTTCTAAAAGTGCTCTACCCTTATCGCTGTCTAACTCATTAACAGAACACGATCCTTGACCCTCCATAAAAACCGCGCTCGCACCGCAACTAGCTAGTTTGACGATTCTTCTGGTCTCTGTTTGCCATGTTTCGCGCATGCTTGTTTCCATTTTGGCGGTGATGCTCTCAAAAACCGGGATGTTCACTCCCATACCCAACCTGAAAGGCCCCCAAAAATTTCTATTCTCACTGAGCTTTCGACACTCCCAGTAACGGAATAGAGATGCTTTATCTCTAAGGTCGTGGAACTTGCTGCGGAATGTTTTGTCCTGCATACACCTCTCGCAAGTTTCGGTGATGATCTGAAACGGTTGGACGCCAAGTTGGCACGGCTCGTCATTGCTGCACCTCTTCTGATCAACATCATTGAGGTGACCGCACCTCATCGAGCATGGAGTGACAAGATGCGATGCCATCGTCTTATTGCAGGTAGCTTGAGAGCGCTTTTTTAGTCGCAGAAGAGTTGAAATGGTGAAGACTTTATCGCCATTCGGTGCCATATATACCAGAAATCCGGCTCCGCAGATGCCTGCACACTCTATGTGCCTACAATGCGAAGAACAGGCAATAATGCTTCACCTGAACTCTGTCGCAGGACTTATAGTCTCACTACTATACTATGTCGTTGGCCATGTCACCTGCAGCGTGTGTAGTGCAAGCTCGGTACAAGACCAATCAGGCAAGACCTACGCCTGCCGCAGAGATCTGCAGACCCACCCACACTGAAAGGGGGGCATCATTGATGGCAACCTCGTCCTGCATGTCGAAATGCGGCACCCTTGAGAGCGAAATGCGGACGTAGAGTAATGAGAAGGCATATGGGGACCGGATTGGCCCTGAGCGAGACGTGCTTTATATAGACGTTTAAGTCGTAACAGCGAATGTTGGTATATAGCAAGGAACGCGCAGGTGAAGAGAGCCACAGCACGTTGTCCAGTCGCTTTACAACCGGGAAGACCTACATAGAGTAAGCCCGTTTAGCTTTTCACCTAGGTACTTTGGACAAGTCCTCCGTCTCCTCCCGTCCCGTCATTAATGTCCAAAGTAATGAATCCTATCTTATTCGACTTATCATAATATCATATTCCCCTCCCGTCTCTCTCGACGGTTCCCGAGCCAATCAGAGAAACTTCATTTCAGCACGGTTGGCCTGGAGAGAACGTCTAGGGGTGAAGATTTATGTGGGAGAGGGCTCGGGGCGGGATTACTCCGTACGCGCATCCAAAGGCATTGTAAGGCGCATACACAACGAAACAGAGAGTGAAGAAGGGGCCAGTAATGCAATTGATTGATCTCTGACGAGCTCCTTCAGAGGCTATGCGACCCTACTTTATAATCACGAGATGCCTCCCAGTCCCGTGCTTTTCTCTGGAAAAGTCACTCCAGCCAGTAGTTGGAATTAACCAGCCATCTACCGTGGTCAAGCACTTTAAGCGCGTGACAGGCATGTGCGCATATCCTGTACGAAATCAAGAGAGATTTTTGTCAGGACCCTCTTCCTTACTCTCCCTCCCCCCTTTACCCTCAATGCCGCACTTGCCGACCTTACCTACTTGCTATCCCGGTCTACCAGCTCTGATTCTTACTCCCTACCGTCCTCGCACGTGATTTTTCCCTCAAGATTTATTCTACCCTGCATTTTGGATTTGCGCCGCAGGAACACGACTAATGCGATCAGTTGAAGAACGCGATTCTTATTGCGACGCGCACATTGCCAGGGGCTATTGGCGGTTATCCCATTTGGGCTGTAGTCGAAGCGGAATCCCTTTCAGTTGTTTGTCCGAACCTGTAGACAGATCATTTTATCGCTAACTTACTGGAAATGGAGACTCAAGCACGCGAACTTTGGCAGAGAACAGTCATGAGTTTTGTCGAACAAAGGAGTAAATTTGCGAGTGAGATCTTCATGAACGGAGGAATATGGTGTTCAGCCGATGAGCTTTAACAGGGTAATGGTAAAGCACTTATGGAAAGGGCGATTGACAAGACGCTGGAAAAGGCAAAGGCATTTAGTCACAGGTGGCATAACCATCAATTAAGGTAAGTAGACCTTTCTAGGTTCTTTATGAGTTATATGTACTTGCCAGGTAGATTTCTAAAGCAGGTGACAACAATAACAGGCAAACTCCCATCATGCCTCGTGTACTTCGCTAGTCTATCCTCTCAACTGTACTTGGTGGATTAAGCAAGCCAAAACGAATGTTTCAGTCCCATTCAACGCTGCTAGAGTTCCCAATTCATGTATTTTACGTGCTGAAGCACTGGGTAGGAGGGCTCACCGTTGGTCACAGGGTTACAGACGGCGCAAGTGTACTTGCCACATGCAGCCTTGACCTTGTTCGAGCCCATCTCAACCTCGATGACTCTGTGGCCTGCTTTGCTCAGCTCGTTGCAAGGGTCGAATTTAAAGGTCTCCATGCTACCCCGAGTGCCACATGAGTAAATTTTGACGGAAACGTAGTTCTTGCACATACTCGAACAAGATCAGAGATATGTATGATGGGACCGCTTGAGTAGACTGAACTGACATGAAGGAGGTTGGGAAATATGAATGGAGGTGATACAGCAATAATGGCGCAATCGACAATGACTTATATAAGAGAGTTGATTCACTCATCAACCCGGCGAGTTCGGTCCTTTTTATAGTGCTCTTGAGCTTTTGAAGAGTTAAGGGACCGCCGGACCGGACATGCTACATGGACCACCGACTGGGGTCGCTTAGGCAGCCGCACCATGCAGCAGCTTGGGTTGAATCAAGGCTGAGGATACAACGTAAATTATCATTTTCAAGTCATTTTGATCAATGTATGAGAGGTACGGCTAAAGTAAGCGCACTAAAGATCCCTCTTGCTGAATTTCATAAGTTTGTACGGACTCCGTAGCGATAAGCAAAACACCGGAGCGGAACAACCTCTATTCCAGCCTTGAGGACACGCTCGCGGCTTCTGTGCGAAGTAGTAAGGTAACAGTCTTAAGGTTCACCGTTTGTAGCAGCTACCATCCACTAATCTCGACTCAGGGGGTCTTACGATCTTTCACGTTACCCGCATATTCACAATGGAAAATAATGGTTCCACGAGCACCATTGAATTGATTAACCCTGGAGTCATGCTCAAGCAGCCGATTCAGTTCCAGGCGGAAGACCTTGCCGAAATAGTCGATCTCTGCTTTTCTGTCGAGCCGCTCATACTCCAGCAACTCGGAGAACATCCAAGGATCGTGAGGTATGCGCAAGTATAATAGCTCTGAGTGCCATGGACACTTATGGTACTGAACTTTTAGATATCTCGGGCAGCATGGCCGCGGTCTACTGCTCGGTCAGGCGAGCCACGGCAATCTCCAAGCCTATATTGACAGCAACCCTTCGATCAACTTGCGTCAACGAATGTTATGGTGTCAACGATTGGCCGAAGCTATCTCCTATGTTCATAATCGCGGCGTCGTTCACTCGGATCTTCGCCCAGCAAATGTTCTTGTTCACGAAAGTACCCCAGGATCTCGGGACTTGTTGCTCTGTGATTTTGGTGGATCTACATGTGATGAACTAGGTCTGGATGGAGGCTGCCTTCCCGATGGCCCTTTCTACCATCAATGTTTGGTTTCGAGTCAAGTCCAGCTCTCGACATATTCGGCCTTGGGTCTCTCTTTTACACCATCTTGACAGGCTGTTGGCCTTACAGATCGACAATTGGCCAACTGGAAACTACAGGTGAGAAGGTGCCGTATGAAAAGGCAGTTGCCGAGGCTTACAATGAGGGTATGTATCCCGACTTAACGGGCATAGCAGGAGGAAGTGTGATTATGGCATGTTGGACGAAGCGGTACAAGACAGCAGAGGAGGTCCTGCGCGCTTTGGAAAGGGAAATGCCGATTCCTAAGGCAGAAGGAGGTTTGATAGAGGCTCATCACACCTTCGTGCTCTTCGGAGTGGTAGTTTCTGTTGCTGTATTGGCAGTCCTCACACACGTACTCATCCAGCGACAGGGGCGATAAGCAGTCGCTGAGCAAGAAGAGGCTTTTGATACGTGGTGCTTTGTTCGACTTCAGACAGTGCACTTGTTTTCAACAAGCTTTGATTACATGTAGCGAAAGACAGCATCCCTAGTTGTGGCTTCCCTTGACGTCGAGCCGTTGTCGTTGAATCAGTGAATGCGTGCGAAAGGCACAATACGACGCGCTAGAATTGGTTTTCCTGCAAATGGTTGGAAGCTAATTTGCTCTTGCGCTTCATTAAGTGGCAGGTTTCGGGCAGCTAGCGTTCTAGCAGCGAGTGCGGGAACAGTTGTGGTGCGGGCGATAAGGAAAGTAAGGCGGGTAAGGACGGCAAGGATGGCAAGGATGGCAAGGATGGCAAGGATGGCGAGGACGGCAAGGATGGCAAGGATGGCAAGGACGGCAAGGACGGCAAGGATGGCAAGGACGGCAAGGATGGCAAGGACGGCAAGGATGGCAAGGACGGCAAGGACGGCAAGGACGGCAAGGGTTTCTAACGGTACAATAGGGTATAGGTCGGAAGCCTAGCCAATCTCTAGCGCCAGTAGACGGCGTTACATGCATGTGTAGTAGCAGCGGGTAAGCGTGGTGGGGTTCGTACTCTCGCGAGGATGCAGGTACTACTGTGGGAATGTAGCATATAGCTATAGTAGGATTGTAAGGGAGGTGCGCACACACGCACACGTGACCCTTAGCGTCACGTGTATGGACCTCGGGGATCCGTGTATAAAGGGCACGTAGTGTGCCCTCATTCCCTTTCCTCCCTTCCTAGCAAGACATCTTGAATACAACCCATTGCGTTACTGCAGTACAGACCTCCCGACACTGATCAGTGATCGATTTGGTCGATCACAGATTGGCAAGGAAGAAGAGATAGAACGCAACCTTCGAAAGCCCAACTACCATATTCCTAGCGATATTGCCCTGGTTGGACCTAGAGGAGGTTTCTATGCTAAGATCAAGGACTCTACGATTACCCGGACCCGGCAACCAACTAGCTCCCGGTAGGCCATTGATAGATCCTTCCAACTTCACTTAACGGTTACATTAAGTGTAAGTGCGTCCACAACGCCGATTCGACAACTACGTGACAGCCCTCACGATTCGACAACTACGTGACAACCCTCACAATGACAAGCACGACCCCAACCCCGAACCCCGCCTCTACGAGGAACGACGCCTTCCTCGACCAAGTAAGGGAATTGGTCCAAAATCTCACGATCCCAAAGACCCAATATCAGGATATCGATCCGACCCGATGGGAGGATGAGATCACGCCACAAGAGGAAGATAGAATAGCTGTTATGACATATACCGCACGATTTATGTCAGAATGCGAGGAGAACGTACACCTTCATGGCACTAATATCCTTGAATTCTTCCAGGATCACTTCCAACAGTGGACCGAGGCAACGTGGAGAAAGATGCCAAAGGAATTTCGAAGGAGCTACGTTACCTTTTAAAGAGACGTGGTATCTATACAGGAGAAAAGGGTGACCACATCATCCCACAGCTCGTCTTCCTACAGACGATCGATAACCCACCAGCCTGGCCCGACAACGAATTCATGGTAACCCAATTCGATAAAGGAACGGAGGCCTATACAAGAAAAGAGAGACGACTAACGCAGAACCCTCCCACCTCCAACACGGCGGAGCCATCCACGCCGTTAGCCCCTATTCCGACGCTCCCTGCTCCTCCCGCTACGACAATTGCGGAACCGCCCACAACGACTGCTACGCTTCCCCAACGAACAATACATCCTACAAGCTATCAGTTCCAGCAACAGAGCATCGTTCTAGCAGAACCCTCTTCTCCCACATCCTCGAAGCGTACACAACGCTTCCCGGCCGACATCCCGAACGACATCGTCGATGCCGACACACAACAGAAATTCACCAAGATCTGGGACAAAGAGAAGAACTATACGGGGGAACCCTATGACCTTCTCGATGATAAGCTACGCATCTTTATGAGTATCTGTTATAACATTCAGGTCAAGCCGGACCAATTCCACGCTCTTTTCCCTCGAATCCTTACTGGCCGAGCCCAAACGTACTACATTGACCACGTTAACTGGACCTCAACGTTCCGCAAGGCATACGATAGCATCAAGCAACATTTCGATACGGAAGTTAACCACGTTCACTACTATACTGAATGGACGACTATTTCCTTTAACAAGCTCCGTGCCGATAATGCTACGAAATCCCTACACGAGGTTCTTCAGCTACTCCTTGATAAGCTACAGTTATGCCAACGAGCTCTTGGCAACGCGTATGCAGGAAACGTTCCACTGCGTACAACGCTTATTAATGCATGCCGCGGTGTTCCTGAACTTGAATACGCTTTATTCAAGCCCGCCGAAGGAATCGAGCCCTTTTGCAGATCTTCGCTCTTCCGTTGAGACCCATCTTGCACGCGGAATAGCGCCTCGTTATCTTCAAGGAGGCCCTCAATACCATCAAGACCTCGAGGAACCATCTGATCATATGGATCCCAATGACCACTACTATCTCGATCGAAGATACAACAACAATCGCGGAAGATTTGGTCAGAAGGGGTATAGAAGGTATAGAGGCAACGCTCAACGAGGCAGCTACAACGCTCCACGGGGAATCTTCAATAGTCAACGCTTTAACCGCCCACAAGGCCGTTACGGCCACAACCACCCGTGGAATAAGAAGTGCTTCGTCTGCAATAAGGAAGGATGTTGGTCTACAAAGCACACTGCCGAGGAACGTCAAAGATCCCGAGACCAATACGTCGCCCACTGTCACTTCATAGGATTACCCTCCCAGGACCTTACAGCCTACGTTCTTGACTTTGAAGGTCACGAGATGGATGCCCACGATGATGCTAACGACCCTGGGACGAGGACGACAATGAAGATAATGACAACAACCCAGAACAGTGGCACACAAGCCAAATGCTCTGCCAGCAAGCCTTCAACCATCTGATCACAGGGAAGACGTGTATAGCACCTCTCAAAACAACGCTACACCTGCTTCCCAATTCATGATAGAGGAGCGCTACTCAAGACTCGTTCCAGGGCATCATAATTGACACAGGCGCCGCGAAGGTTTCCACAGCTGGCTACGACCAATGCATCGCTCTACAACGAGCAGACCCTGCTATAACGCTCGATAAGACTACAGCAGGCCAAGCTTCTATCAAATTCGGCAACGGCGAAGCCATTCTATCCTCGGCTCTATCGCCCTTAAAACACCTCTCGGAAGGATCACATTCCATATCCTCAAGACCCCTACTCCCTTCCTCCTCTCTCTCGCTGATATGGATCGCCTAGGCATCTATTTCAACAACCTTACAGACACTATTGTCGGACGAACAACCCTCCCGGTTATCCGCAAATGGGGACATCCTTGGTTCCTCCTACCTAAGACCAACGAGGCCGCTATCGCATTCCTCACGGAGAGCGAGATCCGCACTCTTCATCGTCGATTCGGGCACCCAGCGGTCCCAAGACTTCACAACCTCCTACGGCAAGCTGGCCACAACGATGTGACGATAGATATCCTAGAGAACATCTCGAGATTCTGTCATCACTGTCAAATGCACTCTCAAGCTCCAAGACGCTTCAAATTCACCCTAAAGGATGACCAGGAATTCAACTACGAAATCGTCGCTGATGTGCTCTACCTTGGAACCCCTCAACGCCCCGTCTTGCACGTGGTAGATACAGCAACAGCGTTCCAAGCAGCCAGGTTCCTCCTATCGATGTCAGCAAAGGATACGTGGGAAGCCCTCCGAGCCCTCTGGATAGACACATATCTCGGACCCCCTGATACTATCAAGCACGACGCAGGGACCAATTTTGCCTCCCTAGAGTTCCGTAACGAGGCAAAGCTTATGGGGATAACCTGCAAGCAAGTCCCTGTGGAAGCACATTGGTCCGTTGGAAAGGTTGAAAGATATCATGCCCCTCTCCGCCGTGCGTTTGAGATCCTCCACGCAGAAATCGGGACCTTCACATCCCCCCGAAGCGATCCTTCAAATGGCTATCAAAGCCATCAACGACACAGCAGGGCCAAATGGCATTGTCCCTACGCTCCTAGTCTTTGGCGCCTACCCTCGAATGGCGTTAGATTCGCCCCCCTTCTGCTACGACCCTGAAAAGGGCTGCCGCAGCCCAGAAAGCGATGAAAATGCTTCGTCAGCTCTCAGCAGAGCGGCAAGTGCAGGGCGCCTTACACACAAAGAACGGACCATCATCAACAGGCGTTATACTATCGCTCCCACTGCAAAGCGAGGTCCGAGTGTGGAGAGAAAAGCTCGGCTGGCAAGGCCCTTTTAAGATTAGTGCAATTGATGGCTCCAATGTCACAATTGATACTATCAACGGACCCCAGACCTTCCGTTCCACCCTTGTGCAGCCTTATTTCCGCGACGAGACGACGATCCCTGCCCCCCGCTGCTGCTGCTGCGGATGATTCTGACATTCCTGTTTCTGATCCTGCGAGCGATTCTGTTCCTGTTTCTGCCCCTGCCCCTGCCCCTGTTCCTGCTCCTAATCCCCCGGCGCCGCGCAAGCGAGGCCGCCCCCCTGGTTCGAAGAACAAGCCAAAGACGACGTTCCTAGTCAAGAAGGAAGAAGATGCCTACCAACTAGCCATCAAGCTACGGGACGAAGGCATTATCACAACGCCAGGCACCCCCCTTTGAGGAATCCGATAGCACGGAGATCGATGATCTATTGGTACGAGGAGTGTTTAGCTTCGAACGCTACAATGAAGCAAAGCACGGGAACCATCATATCTTCCGCTCCCGCATGGTCCGCGAGGTTAAAGGCAAAGAAACCAAACCATACGAGAAGTCAAGGCTCGTGGTCCAAGGGCACAACGACCAAGAGAAAACCACCCTATTGACGCAATCCCCGACAATTCAACGCGTCAGTCAACGGCTTATTTCTGCTATCTCCCCAGACCTCCTTTCTCACGGCATGACCCTCTCTTCGTGACATCACACAAGCGTATCCCCAGGCGCAGACCGAACTATTCCGCACCATTCTCACGCATCTTCCCGCCGAATTAGAAGGAAGATACCGGAAGGAACAATCATTCGCGTTATTAAGCCCCTATACGGAATTGCGGAGGCCGGAGTCCATTGGTTTCGAACCTATCACGGGCATCATGTCGATAACCTCGACATGTCCACATCAACCTACGACCTATGCTTCCTAATTACGAATAAGGGACCTGATAACTTTGGGATTGTGGGAATGCAGACTGACGATACCCTTATGCTTGGCACACAACGTTTTTCCGCGCTAGAGGAAGCGGAACTCGTAAAGGCACAATTTCGGGCAAAGCCGAAGACAACGATGACCCCGGGTACTAGCATTGACTTCAACGGTGCAAAGATAACCCTCCAAGACACCACTTTCCACAACGCTCTACTGCTTCAACAAAAGGGTCAAGCAGCCAAGATCGAACCCATCGACATCAAGGCAGTGTTGCTAATAATATGACAATAAAGT